CTATTCTTTTTTCTCTCTCTCTTTTTGATTTCGTTCGCTTCTATCTATCTCACTCGCTTATTTAACTTTTATTCTCTCTCTCTCTTCTCTCTCTCTCTCTCTCTCTTCCTCTCTCTTCTCTCTCTCTCTCTCTTCTCTCTCTCTCTCTCTCTCTCTCTCTCTCTCATTTACATATTTACTACTTTATTTACATAAATTATACTGACTTACTATTTCTGTTATTCACTTTTTTCAGCCGCTCACGCCACTCACGAATTTCCTTCCTTACCCAATGAACTTTACTCATTCATTCACCGACTTCCTTAATAGTTCGCCCATGTATGATCTATTCATACACTCACCTCTCTAAACACACACAAACACACACACTCACACACACGCCACGCCCACACTACACACACTCACTTACCTAACCACTATATTTATTCCCTTCCTGTGTTTACACATACACGCACACACACACACTTACTTCCTAACCACTTACGTATTCCCTTCCTAATTTACACACAGTCGCGCGCGCGCACACGCACACACACACACACACACACACACCACACACACACACACACACACACACACACACACACACACACACACACACACACACACAAACACAACACAAACACAAACACAAACACACACACGCACACACACACATACACACACACACACACACTTATTCCCTTCCTGATTTACACACACGTACGACAGGAACAAGTCCCTCTAATTAAACAAATTCCCGGAGTAAAAAAATCCACTTACTGTCTTCAAGGCCGTTGGGAAGGCGCTCGTTGTCGCTGACAGTCGCGGTGCTCCGGCCTGCCAAGAGAGCCGTGACAGCGGCCAAAACGAGGGTCCTGCACGAAGCCATCACCGGTTGTCGTAAAATTATCGAAGGCTTTTCTTATGTTTTCTTTTCTTTACCTTTTTTTCCTGTTGTCGAAGAGGAATATCTGTTTTATGGGCGAGCTTATTCGTCCGTCCTCCTCCTCCCCCGCCCTTCCACCCTTTATTCTTTTCTTTTCTTTTTTTGGCTTCGAAGAGAGCAGTTCCGCGAGGCTGTTACCGCGAGTTTCGTAATCCTCGAATGCGAAAAGTTATGCAAGTCCTTTTAATTTTTCCTCTCTCTTCCCTATTGTGAAATTTGTTGACCTATATTTATTCAAATTCATTCAAACTATTTTTTTCACTTTATCACATCATTTTCTTATCAATCTGTCATCCATTCCGAATCACGTCGGAAGTTTCCACGGCACGAAGCACTTCCGCGAAGAATTCATCAAATAGTTTCGTACAATTCCCGAATCACGAACACAGGCGCCACCGCACAATCGGCGGAGAAAAAGACACGCGAAGGAGCGAGCGACCGAGTCGGGCTCGCCGCAGGAACGCTTCGACACAACCTCCTCTTACACTTCCCCAACGTGCACTGGCGAGAGGATGCCCCAGCGACCCCGTCCAGCAGCGGCGACCCGACCGCGTGGACTTGCGGGATGCCTCTCCGGCCGCCCTCCGGGGACGTCGTACTCACGCTTATGTTGCGCCGCCCCCCCACCCCCGCCCCCGCCCCCGGCCGTGCGTCTGGAGCTGCATTTTTAGCCTCTCCGCCATTGCATTCATTTGCGGGGGAAAAAGGCCGATGTTGCATGGTCATTTGCATACCTTGGTAAATATTGGCGTCGAGGGATTTTATATTATTGCAGGGAGCTTTGAGAAAGATCGTCGCAAGGGCTATATATCACTGTGGGAATGCGCCGCGGCTTTTTATGTTGTTATCAGAGAATAGGAAATAGGTTTCTCGTTCGTAAATTTTCCTTATGGAGAAGGAGCATACCTTGGAGAAGCATTTTTGCGGCAAGATATAAATCAGCACTTTGCAGCAGCTGCCAAAAACACGCCGTTGAAGTCTTACTAGAGCGCAACATACACGTATTTTGGACTTAATATTTATAACTTAACAAATGTATATATATACTGATAAAAATCCACAGATATATATATGCATTTATATACATATATTGATTATACATGTATCTGTCGGCCCGAAGTAGTTGTATGCAAATAAATACACGTAAACCGGAATATACATGAGCATATATTGCTGTATAATACATACACCAAAGGAGCGTTCGACTCAGTGACATATAGACACCCCCCCCCCCCCGGCCGCTTCGAAAACGAGGCCGTTCTGTTAGCTCTGCGACAATTCATCTTTTGTTTCCCTTCCACGTGTTAAAACGCCGCTGTCCTTTCCGTCCCGGCGTCTTGTTACTCTTAACTGGAAGGCAACCATAACAGGAGCACTCCACGGCGGCGAAACGAGCCTGACGAGTGCATGGCGCTGGGAGAGGCGAACAGGCAGTTTTACCGATCAGTAAATCGCCCGAGGGTCGTCTAAGGAAATGTTTACGACCAATAACGAAATTGCTTCTCTTGCTTTCGTCTTTTTCTCCTATTTTACTTTGGTGATTTTTGTATGATTTATACTCGTTTAACGACTGACAAATAATATTTGTTCATGAGAGCGACTGAGATAGAGAGAAAGAGAGAGACAAATAGGCAGAGAGAGAAAAAGAAAGACAAATAGATAGAGAGAGAGAGATTTTTTGCAATGAAACAATGCATTTTTTTTTTGTAATATAGTTTGCATGTCAGCAACATAATTAAAAGATGATTAGATCTAAAGAGCCAGCAGCAACGCTTCTGTGTGCTTTTATTACTAAAATGTAAAAGAAATAAGGCAAATAGAAAAATAGAACGAGTCTGAATTGAGCACTGAATAATCACGATTTTCGAGCAGGCAAAAGGTTGATTAATTAATCAGGTTATTGCATTGCCTGCTCCCCGCCCCCTTCATGCCCCCCCCTCCTTCCATGCCCCCGCCCCCTTCCATGCCCCGCCCCCCCTTCCATGCCCCCGCCCCTTCCCCTGCGAATTGGATTATCGCCATCACCGGATGTTCCGCCGCCGTTGTTCGGCCGTTAAACGGGGCGGGAGGCGCGTGTAATGATGTGGCTGCAGAAACGGTCGGGCGTTATCTTATATATTACAAATATATATGTATATGTATACATATATATGTGTCTATATATATACATATATGTATACACACACACACACACACACACACACACACACACACACCACACACACACACACACACACATAATATATATATATATATTATATATATATATATATATGTGTGTGTGTGTGTGTGTGTGTGTGTAAACACACACACCACACACACACACACACACACACACACACGCACACACACACGCACACACACACACACACACACACACACACACACACACACACACACCACACACACACACACACATATATTATATATTATATATATATATATATATATATATATATATATATACATACAAATACGCTTACAATTGAATGTATGTATAAATACGCACACATGTATATACATACAAATTATCACACGTATGTATAGATGTATGCATATTATCATTGTTCTCTTTATTATTCAACCTCAATTTATTCAACTGCAAGTGCCTTTCTCAAATCATTATTGAGAATTACTTGGCATTAACACCTCTGCCTGACTGGATGCCCATCCTAATCAACCGCGGTTCAGCCATGGGGTGACCTCGCTTGACCTCTTTAGGCGATATACCGTTTTTTATTTTCCGGACTACAAGAGCCGTAGTCCGGTGCTTTAACCATTGTGGCAGTTATATAAGGATATTTGTGTGCGTGGGCAAATACAAACATACGTGTGAATATATATTTGTGTGTGTGTGTGAGTGTGTATCATTAACATGATATTTGCTGTCGTTTATCGTGGATGTAATTATTATACAATGTGGAATAATTTCCTAAGTAACTGCATTTTGTTTCTCTATGGTGCGCATCCCAATCGCCTTTTGTTTATGAGATCGTTGGTCCTCCTTGG